ATATATATATATATATATATTATATTTATAGTATAATACTTTAATGTCACAATCACGTGGCAATATTTGCATGTGAATATATTTCACTTTAAAAGAGTATCGATTTGTGAAGTTATTTATGTGATTTAAAGATTTGAGTATCATATAAATAAATATAGAACTTTAAGCATTAGATAATAAATAAATAAATTTTGAAGAAGCATAAGAAAACATAACTTTCATATGGTTCATTTAATCAATCGAGACTACAGTAAAAAAAATAATCATTTTAATGGGACGATTGAAATAGCTTTTATTAAATAAAAAATAAAATAAAAAAAATAATTCAAATATGCATAGATTTTCATAGATACTGCGTGAATAATATGAATAAATAAAATTAAAATCGTTTTTTTATAGATATAAAATGAGTATAAATAAAGCAATAATATTTACATAAAATATGCTTGAATTATCATAGAAAAGAAAAACATAATTGAAATGAATGATAAATGATCATTCATCATAAAATTGATTTTAACTTGAAACTTGGTATCCACAAGCTAATAATAATCATTAATTATCATCGTCTTTGTAGTCGTCATCGTCATCATCATCATCATATGTAAATACACTATCTTTGAATATTTATTTTAATATTATTTAAAATAGAATTGTATAAAAAGTTCGAAACTCACATTTTTCTAAGATTGTAAATTAAAAATGTGTCAGCATTGATCCTTAGGTAATCTAGCGGTCCAGATAAAAATATCTACGATGAAGGAGGACCCACTGACAGAAGGTCATGAGGCTCACTTATTCGAAAGGGTGAAGCTGTCCAAGTCGAGCAAACGACGACAAAGTCGACTGAATCATTGAAGAACATGCTTGCATTCCTTTCACTTTTTATTTTTAAAAGAGTTGTTAGTTTTGTCAATCGTCGTATACTTTTCTTTTCTGAATAAGTCTATATTCCAGATTATGTGAATGATCATGAGAAGAAAATAATCGAAAAAGACGTACATACAACAAAGATGACAAATAAGAGCAACAACTTGGAGAGCTTATATGTGATAAACCTTGCAATGATAGGTCAAATATGTTCGTCCAAACAAGATCGGGCGGAAGCACCTTGAACTAATATTCATGAAAGAATACCTGTGCAAACTACCCTCAACCAGAGATTCAGGTGTATTTTCCTGTTCTAGGGTCTAAAGTGCTCTCAAGGGGACGTGTTCCACTTAGTTAATTACATCTTTGGGGTTGCCCAAGAATACTCTTGATCTGAAAAAAGTTTTACTTACTTTTGTAGTGACAACTAACGTACAAATATGAAAAAAAAGTTATTTTACATGGGAATGTTATAACACCTTCAAAGCTTCTGCTAAGCCACAAGGCGGAGAGTGAGTCTCTCATATTCCTCACATGGGTAATATACTCATCGGTATACGGAGCCTGCGCAATAATCAAATAATCCCGATGGAGAATCTCGATACGTTAAAGCACATCCGGGACGTAAGGGGAGATGACAAAGCATCATACCCCAAACGACTAACAGTTCATCAGCAATCAAGCCATCGAGATGATATCAACAAAGGCAAAATGAGTGACAGGGCTCAACAGGGATATTTAAGAAAAAAGGAGTAATCTCTAAAAGGTAGAGGTAGTTGAGCCTGGGTATTACTTACCTGTCATCTCAAGCTATTGAGACTTTAAGTTTATTTGGTCGTGAAGGTAGTCGACCCAATACATCCAGAGATCCCCGATCAACAATCTGTGAATTGTGTTGTCTGCAGGGACTTTTGTAGCCCTAAGATCAAAAAAATGAAACTCTATCATATGAATGTCAGGCAGAGCTCCAAGAAGAGGGACTTGTACTAGCCAAAATGGCACGGATGCCGCTGTAAAAGAGGAGAAAGGGAGGTTTGACTATAAAGCTGGAGACACTCCCAACAAAAGGACTTACATT